GAACGGTCTACAAAACTTTCGATCACAAAATTGGAGTTGCGATTTGGGAAGACATAAAGAATCGGCATGAGCGGAAAGACAGCAAACAGCGGAATGTGATGTGGATATGAAGATTGGAAACAAGCAAGAAGTTTCGCAGTCAGCTGGTAGATGTCGCGCTTTTTAGTTCAGGGCTGTAAGCGCGTCTCACGACCCCCCGGTCTCCCCTACCCCAATTTTAAGATATATAAGCTTTTTTCCTAACACACAAACAATTTACTGTGACAATGATGGATCAATAAACTCAGAGTCTATTATATCAGTATTATTAAATAATTTCAACATTAGCATTACGAATCCCCTTGCGCAGCACCTCGAACGGACAGTTCGAAAGACCTGCTGAAATAGAGCGTTGCCTAAAATTAAAAAAAAACAACTAAATACAATAGAACCATCCAATACACTGTTGAGCTGCAGAATTCGAAACAGAGATTAGTACAAAAATTCACATAAACAAAAACAACAACAAAAATTGTTTGATATCAAACAAACGCCTAGGGAAAAAACTCTCTCCCCTATGCTCTGAAGAAATAATTGAGGAAGGCCTTGGGACGACAGAGGATGGCAAGGACATATAAAAATAAAACACTTTAAACGATTCTTGTATACTTAATTTAAAATAAAGGATTTTTGTTTTCTTCTTTTTTGTTTTTGTTCAATAAACGCAGTTACCAAATCAGGAGAAATAGACAAAAGCCACCTATTTGAAATAATCTTGGGCGAAATAGAATATACATATATTAAATTATCTCGAAAATGTGATATTCTCAATAACATTGGCAAAGGTAAACTGAATAAACCCCGTAGTTCCGGATGAAATTGATATCAAAGAAATTAATCATGAAAAGCTCAAAAAATGTTAGCATTACGGATCTTTTAGAAGTATCACTGTTAAAGGCATTTTAAAATAATGACATACATTTGCTCATGATTGTGGTAGAAACGCGGTACCATCCACCAGTGTCAAGCTTTAATTGGAACCACGTTCTGCAGAAAATCCGACTCCTCAACATGCGCTCAACAATTTTTGTTTTTTTTTTTCTAACCCCTTTATTTATTACGTCTATTCAATAGAATATTAAGTAATTGTTTTGGAAGACAACATGTGGGCTTAACTTATTACCAACACCATTGTGTTGGTATAACTTTTTATACCCTTGCAGAGCAAAAGGTATTATAATTTCAGTCAGAAGTTTGCAACGCAGTGAAGGACACACCTCAGACCCCATAAAGTATATATATTCTTGATCAGCATCACCATCTGAATCGAAATATGTATGTACGTCTGTCCGTCTGTCTGTCTGTCTGTCTGTCTGTCCGTCTGTCTGTCTGTCTGTCTGTCTGTCTGTCTGTCTGTCTGTCTGTCCTCCTGTCGGTTTCTATGTAAACTAGTCTCTCAGTTTTGAAGCTATCTTGCTGAAACTTTCCCAAAAGTTGTGTTGTTATTGCACGCAGTATATAAGTCGGAACGAGCTGGATCGGCCGACTATATCGGATAGCTCCCATACGAGAGATTGAAAAAAAATCTCACTCCGTTTGTTTTTGATCAGATCGACTTGATTTCTTCCAGATGGCGCTTTATCACTACTCTTGAATTTCGGTTTAAATTTTATCGAAATCGGATAACTCTATCATATCGACGCATTTCCGCGACTGTATCGTATGTAGAAAAATCTAATTTTACAGGAGAAGCTTTTTCTTTATTTTTGTAATTCGGTATTTTTGTGCGATTGCAGTATTTCCATGCAAATTTGTATGGACATACGATAATTTCGCGCGCACATTGTAACATACGATAAAATTGAAACTTAATTTTTATCGGAACTATAGGGCTTTCAGTTATAATATTTCACAGGGTGGTGGGACATTAGGTGCCTAACAATTTTGCATTAAAATCTCAATTTCGAAAAAAAGCGACATACGATACAGTCGCGGAAATAGCTGCCATAGGAGAGATCAAAAAATATATATAGAATTAATTAAAATTAATTGATAACGTAATTGTTTTTGATCACACGACTGTGATTTTTTGATTATCAAGTTTTTCAACTAGCCTTGATTTATAAAAAAAAAAATCATACAAATCGGACAACTATATCATATAGCTGCCATAGGAAAGATCGAAAAATCTATATAGAATTAACGGAAATAAAATAATAACATCGATATTTCTCATCAGAAAATCATGATTTTTGGAATATAGAGTTAGAGTTAGAAAACTAACGACTCTTGAATAACAAATAAAATTTTATCAAAATCGGACGACTATATCATATAGCTGCCATATGAACAATAGTCAAAAATATGGAAAATTAATAGAAAAATCGTCATAACTTCGATGTTGGTTAGCCCTTGTGTATTCTGTTCGAAGCCGAAGCTAGCTTCCTTTTTTGTTTAATTTCGCTTATTTTTATTTACTTAATTTTATTCTGTTATTGGTGCGCTAATGCTGTGGGAGTTCTCCCTTTTAGTCTTCGTGGTTGTGCTTCTTTTCTCGGAAAGTCTCTTAGGCTATGATTCTGGTGCGCAAGTAATTTTTGGATGTGGTTAATGCAATTCTGCTTAATTATCTCTGAGATCGTCTGTATTCTTAGCTCTCTGTGGATGTGGTCATTTGTTGTATATCTGTCTGAGTTAGTTAATATTCTTAATATTTTCGACTGGGCTCTTTGTATTAAGTTGAGGTTGGATTTGCTGGCTGTTCCCCATATTTCTATACCATATGTCCAGATTGGTCTTATTATTGTTTTATAGATTAGTAGCTTGTTGGATACGTTTAGGTTTGATTGTCTTCCCAGAAGCCAATGGAGTTGTCGGAATTTACTTTTTACTTCGTTTCGTTTGTTTATTATATGTTTTTTCCACGTGAGTTTTGAGTCAATAGTGAGTCCCAGGTATTTTGCGCTAGTACTTAGTTTTAGGATTTCGTCATCTATTCTTATTCTTGTTGGGGTAGTTATTTTCTTTTTTGTGTATACCACCTGTTGGGTTTTGTCCTTGTTTATTTCAATGCCCCATTTTTCAAACCATGACATTGTTGTTGTTAACATCTCTTGAAGTGTGTTTGCTGCTCTTTTTTCTGTGTAACTAGAGGCCAATAGCACTGTATCGTCAGCAAATGTTGCAATCATGGACCCATGGGTCAGTGGATTTGGGATGTCTGCTGTGTATATAAGGTATAATACTGGTCCTAGTACGCTGCCTTGGGGTACACCCGCTGCCACAGGCATAAGATCTGAACATTCATCGTCGCATTTGATATAGAAATATCTGTTAGTCAAGTAACTTTTTAGTATAGTGAATGGGTTAAATGGTAGGATGTTGTGAAGCTTATGGAGTAGTCCTGTATGCCATACTTTGTCAAACGCCTTTGCAATGTCCATGTATACTGCTACGCAAACTTTCTTGTTGTTAAAGTCTTCTGTTATTTCGTTGATAACTCTGTGCACTTGCTGCACCGTTGAGTGTTTTTTTCGAAAACTAAATTGATGGGGTGGGATTAGATTTTGTTCTACTAAGATAGGGTTGATTCTGTCAAGTAAAATTTTTTCGAAGATTTTTGATAAAATTGGTAACAGGCTGATTGGTCTATATGAGCTAACAAGAGATGCACTTTTATGAGGTTTTGGGATTGCTGTAATCTGCGCAATTTTCCACGTCGAAGGGAAGAACTTCAGTCTTATCACTGCATTAAAAATGTCTCTTATAAACTTAATCGTATTGTCTGGCAGCTCTTTTAGTGTTTTACCACTGATTTTGTCATAGCTGATTTTAATATTTGTTCTTGTTGGGTCAATGAGCTTTTTCAAAGACCATTACCTTGACGGTGCCCAAATAAAATAATAACGCACAAATTTCACTTAAAATGCAACTATTTATTATTTGGCACCAAGGCCTTAAATGTTCATAAAGTTCTTGTTTGTTGGTTTGAATTAGGCAGGCAGACCGAATTGTCTGTGCCTTTTCTCAGCGAAAAGGTATTTAGCAGGCAGACCGATTTGTCTGTGCGTTTAGCCGAAAGTATATAAGCCGAGAGTTGGCAGGCGATGAGCGATCGTGCCTTTTGCAAGCGAGTATCAAAATCGAACTGGGATGAAGCTTGCCGTGGACAAGGTCAGGAAGCGATAAGCGAAAGAGTGCAAAAGTAGTTAGAAATGACAATTAGAACAGTGTTGCCGTGCAGGGCAAATAGCAAAACAAAAGGCAAACATCGAGAATTTGAATTACGTTACGATTTGAATTTAGTGACTGATTTAGGCTGCGGCATGACTGAACATACTCCCCCGTTGGAAGACCAGGGCTTTCAACCAGATTCAGCTTCGGCAGCACGCGCAGCTTGCGGACAGCCCTTCGAGAGATTCGAGCCACACGAGTAACTCCATCAGATCCAGGCACCAATTCCATGATCCTGGCTAGTGGCCATTTAAATGGAGGCAGAGTGAAGACGACCTCGTTGATTTGTAGCACAGGTTTGGGAGTGCGCCACTTTGACCGTTGCTGTAACAGGGTCAAGTACTCTTCACGACACCGTGACCAGAAGATTTGTTGGAAGTAGGAAATTCTCTGCCGGCGGTCCAAACGGTTGAAGTTCAGCTTTGTGACGTCAGGCTCAGAGTACAACACCAGTGGAACTGTGCCAAGAAAGTGTGCAGGAGTTAGCGCCTCAAGATCTGCCGGATTCTCTGAAAGAGGGAGTAAAGGCCGTGAGTTTACAATCGCCGCAATGTGGCAAACGAGAGTGCGCAATTCATCGAACGATAATAACGATGGGCCAACAGAACGGTAGAAATGAGATTTGGCCGTCTCCCAGAGACCTCCAAAGTGAGGTGAACGAGGGGGAATAAAACGCCACTCAATCGAATCTTCCAGGCAGAAATCTTCAATCGCTCGAATGTGGGGGCTCGATATGAACATTCTTCAGCTCAGCTAGCTCGTTCTTGGCTCCAACGAAATTCGTGGCATTATCCGACCATATTCAGACAGGTTTGCCTCTGGTGAGAATAAACCGCTTCAGTGCTCCCAAAAATGTTGGTGTCGAAAGATCCTGGACAAGCTCCAGATGGATCGCTTTCGTCGCGAAAAAAGATGAAAACGCAGATGTACGTTTTCACAGGCACCTTGTTTCGAACTCCGGTTTTGTAATAAAATGGGCCGCAGAAGTCCAGACCAGTAACCATGGACGTAGACGTGGCGTTTACACGATCCTTGGGCAAGTCAGCGATTATGTGTTGAGAAAGCTGTGGTTTGGCACGAAAGCAAATGACGCATTTGGACGCTGCAGCTGACACTGTTTTCCGGCCACCTATTGGCCAAAACTGAAGGCGCATGTGAGCGAGCCGAGCTCGTGGACCAGAATGCAAGTTTCTCCGATGCAAGTCCAGTATAATGGCACGTGTAACTGGATGCTGGCGTGGTAGTATGACAGGATGCTGCGCATTGTAATCCAAGGACGAATTCTGTAGACGGCCACCAACTCGCATCAGACCGAAGCTATCGATGAATGGCAATAGAGAGGACAACGGGCTGGATGATGAAATTTGCTGCTTAGAATGCAGTCTCCAGTAGTCATCAGCCAGGTTGCTCATTTGGATACATCTGATGAGCATCTGAGTGCCCATCTTGACATGTTTGACGGCAAAACCAGGTCGTCTTTTACGGTGTCCAAATTTGTATTCGAATCCGAAAGTGTGGGTCATCTTTTGACAGGAGTTCACGAGATTGCGTTTTAAGGGTAGATCCACTTTGGTAGAGACGCCAACCAAAATGCGCTTTCTGAACTCGGGAGGAGTCTTAACAGGTAAACAAGATTCAGGCCAATCGCGCTGATTCTTGAGAAGAAACGCTGGGCCTCTGAACCAAAGGGCAGATTCCAGAAGCTCTCTCGGGGAAGCTTCTATTGAGAAGATGTCGGTTGGATTGCAGTCAGTCGGTATATTTATGCCACTGGATAGCTTTTTAACGAAAGATACTTGATTAGTAACAAATACTTGAAATCGTAAAGGTTCATAGCTTATCGATGATAACGCTTCAGCAGAAACGAAGAGCTTCATGTTGCGTACGTCCCGCATCAGTTGCGCTAGTAGCAAGGCAGTGCAGAACTCAAATTTGGAAACCGTGAGAGTCTTCCAAGGTGCCACACGAGACTTTGAAAAAAGTAGATGCACCTCTCGTTCGCCATCAGCTGTTGCATCTAACGCACGTCGAAGAATCTCCATTTGATGGGTACGACGCATGTCAGATAGCAACTTCCGCCATGATGTGTTGAGTCCCTGGGGAAAGCTCTCATCGCAAACCTTTGAAGAGACCTGTGTGGAAGACAAAGAAAAACGAAGAACATCCGCTGCAGGGTTCCAGGCAAGACCCAGTGTCTTGGTAATGTCGCTGCCATCGTCAAACTTTAGGAGTGTTTCCTTTTCCAAGTCAGGAATTTGATCACGGACGTCGTTGATTTCGAGGACCTCCTGTGTTGATTGCCCTCCAATGGTCAAATCGTTAACGTAGAAGTCTCGCAAAATGGTTTTAGAGCCGATTGAATATGAACTCTTCTCATCACCCGCCACAGGAGCTGGCTGAACCTCGGACGAAGGCTGAGAGCCAGGGTGCAAAAGGCTATGATGCTTTGACCCTTTTCGCTTACGCAATTCAATATTCAATCTTGTTTTTGATAAGATGATAAGCTCCTCGAAGTCATCGCGCACCATACTACCAATTTCACTAAAGTCCAGCCGCTCAAGTCTGTCATGGATCTGGCAAAAGGCAGTCTTGATCTCGTCCAGGCGATGAACACGAAGCTCCAATTCCTCCACGCTCATTTCCTGGAGCTTGTCGGCAGTCAGGGCCTTCTCGAAGGCTTTCGTTTTAGAAAGCATTGACTCAGCCTTCAACTTGAAACATTTTGCTCCCGCAACTGGAGCAGAAAGAGTTTGGTTCGTTGACATTTTGTTAAATTTGATTTTAATTGTTCAAGAATTTTTCACTTGCACACTAAAAAAGTTCCACTGTGCAATGATTAGCGCCAAAATTCTAAGCCAGCGAAAACGAAGCGGAATCTATGTGCAAGTCTATTGCATATGCAATGTAGGCAATAAACCCGCGCACAAACGTTTTGTCGCCGCTGTAAAACGTTCAAAGCGGGAACGAAGGCACAAAGCGAAAACGAAAATGCACTTTACGATGCGCAGGGGCGGGCGTGTGCGAGACTCTAGCGAAGTTTATGTTGCGCTTATGTTCTGCTGAAGTTATGTATGCACGATCACCAACTTTTAACGACCGAAAATAATAAATTATTAGTTCGATTGCTCGAATTTTTATTGTTTCACTATCACGTCGGGGTCACCAAAATGTTGGGTCAATGAGCTTTTTCAAAGACCATTACCTTGACGGTGCCCAAATAAAATAATAACGCACAAATTTCACTTAAAATGCAACTATTTATTATTTGGCACCAAGGCCTTAAATGTTCATAAAGTTCTTGTTTGTTGGTTTGAATTAGGCAGGCAGACCGAATTGTCTGTGCCTTTGCTCAGCGAAAAGGTATTTAGCAGGCAGACCGATTTGTCTGTGCGTTTAGCCGAAAGTATATAAGCCGAGAGTTGGCAGGCGATGAGCGATCGTGCCTTTTGCAAGCGAGTATCAAAATCGAACTGGGATGAAGCTTGCCGTGGACAAGGTCAGGAAGCGATAAGCGAAAGAGTGCAAAAGTAGTTATAAATGACAATTAGAACAGTGTTGCCGCGCAGGGCACATAGCAAAACAAAAGGCAAACATCGAGAATTTGAATTACGTTACGATTTGAATTTAGTGACTGATTTAGGCTGCGGCATGACCGAACAGTTCTCTTATTTCGTTTATCGTTGTTCTACTGATTGCACAGTTGGGTTTGGGTAAATGTGATGGAAGCTCAACGTTTTGGTTGTCCATACTGTTCGTAAAAACTTCCTCAAAGTGTTCTGCCAGTGTGTTAGCTTTTTCTTTGTTTGTTCTTGCCCATGAGTTTTTTTTTTTGTCTTTATTGGATGTTTATGTTTAAATGCTTTTGTCAGTTTTATAGTTGCTTTCCATAGGGAGAAGTTTGTAGATGTTGTTGTTCCCAGATTTTCCAGTTGACTCCTGTTTTGGCTTTCGTTGTGCTCTTGTAGCGTTTGCTTGAGATCTTTTATTGCACGGTTTAGCTTGGCCTTGTCATTTGGGTGCTTGGTGGACTGCCATATTTTTCTTAGTTGTCGCTTATGTTTGATTTTTTCTTTTATGTGTGATGGAGTCCTTTTGGTTATTACGGGGATCAGAGCCGGCGTCGATTGCCATAGAGCTTTAATTATGTTGTCGTTTAAGTGCATTATAGCAGAGTCTAGTTCTTCGTTTGTTTTTAGGGAGGCCATAGTATCCATGTTGTCCAGTAATATCTCCCTGAATAGGTTCCAGTTCGTTTTGTGGTTGTGGCTCGGAGTGTTGCTTGTCAGGTCTGGTGTGCTTTTTATAGTTACTAAGATTGGTGAGTGGTCTGATGATAGGTCCAGGCTTGACTTTATACAGCTATGTATATGATAGAGTTATCCGATTTTGATAAAATTTGATTCCAACTCGATAGTAGTTAAAAAACACCATCTGGAAGTAATGAAGACGATATGATCAAAAACAACGGAATGATAATTTTTTTTAACCTTTCGTATGGGAGCTATCTGATAAAGTTGCCCGATCCGACCTATTTGGACTTATATACTGCGTGCAATAACTAGACAACCTTTGGGTAAATTTCATCAAGATCGCTTTAAAACTGAGAGACTGGTTTACATAGAAACGGACAGACCGACAGACGTTCATTCATTCAAATAATAATACTGCCAGGGTACAAAAAACTGAAAAAAAAACGGTTTCATAGCTAACCGAACTAAAAACTTAGATAATAATTTTTAGGAAAAAATAGTTTATATTACAGTAGCAGCGGAAGGTCGAACGATCAGTCATAATTAATTCGGGGGAAAAAAGCGTGAGATGGATTAACAATCATTTACATTTTGCGACTTTTGTCCTTAGTTTGATATTAGAACGCATCGCCGATATTTTTGATCACAACTTTTAATTATTATTTAATAAACAATAACTAGCAGTAATTTGTTTTTTGTTTAAACTTTTCAGAGATCGAACAGATCAAAGTCCTTTTATTGAATAAAACAATTTGTTTTTAATATTTTGGGAATGCAGCGTTTGAATGAAAAACACATACATATGTATGTACATACGTGACAGTGCGGAACTTCGTTCCGTTTTAGACTAAAACATTTTTTTTGGCAAGTTCATTTCAACTTATGACTCAATTCTTCATAACACCTTTTTTTCAAAACGATCTTTCACTGAACAAAAGTTTGAAAGGTATAAATTGCTTAAACAAATATCGAATCTTTAATTTTCATTAAGTTTCTGTTTAAACATAAATAAATCTCTTTCGTTTAGTTACTCTCCAGTAACATTAATTTTATCTATAAAATCTTTCCATAAATCGTATAAAATAACCTTTTTCATTGACACAATTTCTTGTCTACATTTTCATTTAGTGTAATTTTTTTTAACACTTTTCTCATTTTTACTTTCCATCTCTCTCTTGGCCCCCGCCATTACATGACTCTTCTGTATGGTGCGGTCCTGACTCCCGCCATAACACGTCTCTTCTGTTATGGTGCAGCCTTGACCCCTGACACAACCCGTGCGGTCTTTTTCTTTTTCTCTTCTTCGACTTCAGTAGCATCTTCTATCACGTCATGCCCATGGTAGAATTATACACGGTAGTCTCGTCGGCTGCAAAATCGTTCCGGTTTTTTCCCCCTATGGTTCAGTGCGCTCGGGATTTCGAAGTGAGAGGTTGTCCGCGGACGATTTTTTCTCAAAACGTTAACCCTTGTGTGCTTATGAAAAATACTTGTTGCAATTATTGCAGCAAGCATATACAAGGCATAACATGTAATATTGCAGAAAAATATTTTGAAATGTGAACAATATGGGAGCGAGTCCTAAAGGGCAGCTTTGGGTAAAAACCAAAAATTACGGAACAATTAATACTCATTGTCATATAACAGTCCTTTTTAAACCCCGTGCACAGCATAAGGGTTTTACGACATCATCTTCTTCTGTTTCTTTCGCACTTACGGGAAAACACCCTCTCACTCGCACTCATTGTAGTGACCAATAGGGGAAAAAAAGCCGACGAGACTACCTTGTACTTATTATACCATGGTCATGCCTATCTTCGCTTATAAGCTGATTATTTGGCAAAGCTTTCGAGATTCCTGTGGATATTTGTAAGTTTCGCTTACATACACAGCTATTTCTTCAATCTCCTTGGCTTTCCATTCGGACATAAGCATTGTAACAATACGGCTACCGTATTCGGCAAAGCATTCTTTTGGTTTTGGTCGCCTATTTAACATTCAATACCATACCAGCAGTAGTTTCGATTCCGACGAAACGTTGCACGAACAGTTCTCTAAATTGCACCCAAGTGATTCCGGCAAAGCATATTAAAGCTATCACCAGCAGGGTTGCCAACTCGGATTTTAAAAAAGGCGTAGGTCAGATAAAGAAAGTTATGTAGAAATGTGAAATTGCCATATAAAAAATACGTAGATCTACGTACTTGTTTTTCTGAATGAAATTAAGAGAGTAGGGTAGGTAAAAGTAAATAAAATGACAATTTATATTACCCTAAAAGTAGTGGACAGCAAACAAACAACAAATTTAAAAATAAAAAAAATCTATGAATTATAGATCTACCAGAATCTCATGGCAAATAAGCATTCACGCGATTGGCAAGTGCGCTTCCGGAATCCTCGCCGCCCATAAAGTAGATTTGTAAGAATTTATGTGGTTCGTTTGGCATTGGCAGCAGTGAGCCCATTTTATGATAAACTTGGCCTCTAATTTTGAATGTAGAATTGTAATTTTGACCATTTGCATTAGTATTTCGAACTATTTCTGTTGCTCCGAACGATGTCATTTGAAAGCATGAATTGAATGTTCGAATTGACTTCAGGAACACGTTAGAATCTGGATCCGTGCCGATAAGTAAGCCGTTCAATGGTTCAGCTAGTATTTCAATTTCTGGTAGTTGCACATTTTCTGACGCGCAACACATCCCAGCTGGCTCATTTTTGAATTTCAGAGCATGACAATGCTAACATTCCTTGTCCATTTCTAGCACCCATTATCGGTCTCATACTGGAATGCTAGACGCAGGAATGAATCAGATATAAAATTGATCGTTGTACCTGTTGCCGTTGTTGGTCATTTGTTATGCGTCTATTGACTGTGAAACTGCGTGATTGTCGTTGTTCTAATCTTCTGACTTCATTGCGTTCTGCTCGTGTTTCTTTAACGTTCTTCTTGATGCAATTGCGCTATTCTGACACGTACATCAGTATTTTGTTGCTGGATTTGTTCTTCGGTTCTTTCGGATCTTCTATTTCGCATGATTCGAGATCTACTTGTATCACGGCTCAAATCACCCCCTTTGCGTTTTCTTGGCATTGCTCACTGTACAAAACACTCATAAATAGAATTAATGAATTTACTTAATGATGAACGATTTTTGCCACAGTTTAAATTAAGTTAAAATGCTATGGTAGCGTGTGCTTGTCACTGTGATGGGGTAGTAACTGACTTTATATGCGATTTGTGGTATGTCGAACAGGATTTAAGAGGATGAAAAATAGATGTTGGTAGTTGCACTTTTCCTGACGCGCAACACAACCCAGCTGGCTCATTTTTAAATTTCAAAGCATGACAATGCGGACATTTCTTATCCATAGCACCAATTACCACTTTTGAGTGAGCATAATACTCAATATCGGGCTCATACTGGAATGCTAGACCGCAGTAATGAATCATATATAAATACTCGATGTACCTGTTGTCGTTGTTGGTCATTTGTTCTGCGTCTATTGACTGTGAAACGGCGTGGTTGTCGTTGTTCTAATCTTCTGTCTTCATTGCGTTCAGCTCGTGTATCTTCTGGCTCTTATCTGACTTCATTGCGTTCAGCTCGTGTACCTTCTGGCTCTTCTCTGACTTCATTGCGTTCAGTTCGTGTATCTTCTTGATGCAATTTCGCTATTCTTTCGGATCTACTATTTCGCATGTATCGAGATCTACTTGTATCACGGCTCAAATCTCCCCCTTTGCGTTTTCTTGGCATTGCTTACTGGACAAAACACTCATGAATAGAATTAATGATTTTACTTAATAATGAATGATTTTTGCCCCAGTTTAAATTGATTTAAAATGCTATGGTAGCGTGTTTTTGTCAGTGTGATGAGGTAGAAACTCACTTTATATGCGATTTTTGGTATGTCGAACACTATTTAAGAGGATGAAATATAGACGTTGGGTAATTGTCAGATTTACTCAATACGCTCACAAAATTTCATGAGAATCGGTATAGCCGTTTCGGAGGAGTAAGGTCACAAAAACTGTGACACGAGAATTTTATATATTAGATTTCGATCCTTCCAATGGCAGCTATATGATAGAGTTGTCCGATTTTGTTAAAATTTAATCCGAAATTCAATAGTAGTTAGAAAACGCCATCTGGAAGAAATCAAGTCGACGGCGTAAGATTTTTTTATTTCATTCTCTCGTATGGGAGCTATCCGATATAGTCGGTCGATCCGGCCCGATCCGACTTATATACTGCGTGCAATAACTACACAACTTTTGGGAAAGTGTAAGCAAGATACCTTAAAAACTGAGAGACTACTTTACAAAGAAACAGACAGACGGACAGACGTACATACGTATTTCGATTCAGATCGTGATGCTGACCAAGAATATATATGTATATTATACTTTATGGGGTCTGAGGTGTCTCCTTCACTGCATTGCAAACTTCTGACTGAAATTATAATACCTTTTGCTCTGCAAGGGTATAAAAACTATGCACATATTTTCTATCTGATTCGTTCACTCACAATCAATCGAAGCGCAAGCGTCGTTGGATTTGATCGTCTTTTTCGATACGATCTTTTTCGATCATCATACCAAAATCAACAAATCAGTTTGAATCAGTAAGCAGAACACTCAAGTGAATGGTTCGAACTCGTTCGTTTTGTGCACGAAACTCAATCGTATAACTTCGTAGCGAAGCGCTGTGTCGAGTAGTGATCGGTTTGAACAATACTCAATGCAGTTCTCTGCACTCTACATGTTTAGTAACTGTGAATGAACCGAAAGGCTTGATAACAGAGAAATCGCAATTTCACAAAGGTGAAAATAAATAAATAATAATAAATAATTTCGAATTAAATTTAATCAAAATCGAATACCTATATCTTATAGCTGCAGTAGGCAGGATCGAAGATTATATAATATATAAATAATGGCCACAAAATGATAACGTCGTTGTTTTTTATCCCATGCCCATGATTTTTTGAGTATCAAGTTTTTAGTTAGCCTTGAATTATACAAAAAAAATTTATAAAAATCGGGCAACTATATCATATGGCTGCAATAGAACAGATAAAAAATTTATATAGTATTAACGGAAAAAAAATGAGAACATCGTTGTTTTTATCAGACAAGCATAATTTATATAGACGAATAATAAAAAATCGTCATAGCTTCGATGTTGTTTAGCCTTTATGTATTTTGTTCGACGTATTTGGTGACTGCAAGGGAATAAAGCTTCGGCTCGCCGAAGCTAGCTTCCTTTCTTGTTTTTATGTTAAGCCGCTTTGGCTACAAGAGAGTCTTCCTATTTTCGAAAGGCCTTACCTTTTATACTCGTGTTAACATATATTATAATAACATTTTTCAAATATTTTTGACCATTTATTAAAGCTAGCTCGTGTTCTTATTACACTGTGCGACAAAAAAAATGTTTAAGTTGATTTTTTCTTATTTTTCACTTCTACTAATCAAAATAAGAATAAAAGTTTGTGGATTTGTTAATATCAATAGCCAATCAGCTTTTACGCACACTCAAATGTCCCAAAAACGCGCGTTTTTGCATATTTCACAGCCTTATAATCACATATTGGGAAAATATACCGTTAGGCTTTTATCACAATGCATTGCAATGCTTTAAAATTTGTTTCTCCTAGCTCTATACTCTCGCACTCTTGCTCTCAGTAACGAGATTAAAAGCGCAGCTAGAGTAATTTACCGTGAAAAAAAAAATCGTATCACTTAAAAGGTGGCATAGATATTTTTGTGCATAATTTATGCACCTTAACCGAAAACAATCAAAAAAGTAACTTAAACAATGATTTTGTTTAATTTTGTCGCACAGTGTTATCTGTGTTTATCTAATCAAGACTTATAAAATATAGTTTAGAGCCCCTTAACTATCTTTGCTTTAGTTTCAATTTTGATTGAAATGAATCGGCATCCATCTTTACAAGTTGTCTTATAAAATATAGTTAAGAGCCCCTTAACTATCTTTGCTTTAGTTTCAATTTTGATTGAAATGAATCGGCATCCATCTTTACAAGAGTCTTAGCTGATGAGGCTTTATCTTTCCGCATTGAGAGCTCCATCTCTAAATTGGATATAAAAAGAATAGCAACATTTATGCAATCTTTGAAAAAATAATGAATCGACATCGGAACACCGTGTGGCAATACTATACATCAACTGAAAGGGATTGACATAACCTACAAATCGATGCTATGCATGATTATTTTGGAGTTGTGTTAGTGAACATGGAGTTCACTAACGACCAAACTCGCGCCATTTTAAAGTTTTTCTTCATTTAAGGCAGCCGGAGGAAGACTTGTGACGACGAATAGCGATCAAATCATGGAATACATCGAGTTAGATCGGTATTTGTTGCATATTATGACATCGCCCAGGGGATGGGAGTTACCAAACCATTTCAAACCATTTGCTGAAGGCACGATACAAAAAGTCTAAATGTTAGGGTACCGCACAATTTGACGAAAAAGTTTTCTGGACCGAATAGTAGTTGATTCGGTCCAGAACACGATATGTTGCAAAAACGGAACGAACTCAATCCATTTTTAAAGCGGATGGTGACTGGCGTCGCTTGAAGTAAGCGATCGTCCAGAAGCGTCCAGAATTGCACAACAGGAAGGGTGTAGTGTTTCACCAGGACAACGCCAGACCACACAGTTCATTAATGGCTCGTTAGAAGCATAGGGAGCTCTGATGGGAGGTTTTATGACATTTACCATTTAGCCCGGAAATAGCGCCAAGTGATAACCACATGTTTCTGTCTATTGCGAACGCCCTTGGTGGGGAAAAGTTTAACCTAAAAAAGGCTTGTGAAAAATGTAGCTGTTCGAGCTTTTCGCAAATAAAGAGGGCGGCTTCTAAGAGGTGGTATGATAAACTTGCCGTCTGGATAGAAACAGATTATCGAAAACAACGCCGCACATTTAAAGTAAATCCGATCACTGTAACGATAGTCAAATCCGGCCCGTTTCGATTTATGTACTGCGTGCAATAACTACACAACTGTTGGTAAAGCTATAGCAAGAATGCTTTCAAAATAAGAGATTAGTTTACATAGAAACAGACAGACGGACGTACACGACTCTTTGAATTCAGATCGTGGCTTTATGGGGTTTGAGGTGTTGCAAACTTCTGAGTAAAATTATATTACCCTCTGCAAGGGAATACAAATCTTAATTTCGGTGTAGTTCATGCATTTTGCTCGACGTTAAGCAACACGATCTGACAATAGGTATAAAAGTAATTTTCTATAAAGATCGCAATACTATATCGTGTCTACCATAGAAAATTAATCAATGGGAAAAATTAATAATAGGAATAATAAATAAAATATTAAAAAAAAATAGAGTTTATACTAAACAGAAAACGAAAACTGTAAATGAATTCACCACAGAAACTTGAACTTTTTTACTTTCCCGAGTGTCTCGTAAAAATAAGTACTATTATACAATATATAGATAAATAGATTTCAAACTGAGGATTAAACCCAAAAATCGTTTTTTTTTACCTAAACAACTATATTTACAGGTAAAAGCTTCATGATGTTTAAACCATGTTTTGTGGTAATATACATAATTACGGTCATGTGTACAACAGTCTCCTTTAGTCTTGGGGCTTCAAACAACCCGTATGATATTTTAGGACTAAAAAAAATTGCTACGACACAGGAAATACGAAAGGCATACAGGCAATTAGCAAAAGAATGGTAAGTCTATAAAAATGTTTTAGGTTTTCCAAATCTTAAAAATTTGTTCTTAAAACCAAATATAACTAGTCCAAACAGTCAATGCCATTATGGTGGTACGTTTCATAAACCAAATTATTATTATTTGAACTTCCCCAGGATCACCCGATGAATTTCGAAATTAATTCCTTGGAAACCAATTTCCTGAGTTACTCTGGAATTCTTGCGATTTCCTCGAGTACTCTACGTGAGTCCATCTTTTATGGGACCTTTCCGATGCCAATGGCTTAAATATATGATGTAGTCATTCACAGTCATGAAATTTAATTAAAAATTTAAAAGTTGAAAAAAACAACGGCGGTTAATTTTTTTCGCGTTATTTTTTTTCAATCTCTTCTTTGCGACCTATCCGATATAATTGTCCGATCTGGCCCATTTTGTCTTATTAACTGCCAGCAAGGGCTTCGCAACTCATAATAAAGTTTCAGCGGGATTACTTTAAAGCTGAGAGACAACGTTGCACACTTTTTACTGAAACTTAAATAGCCTTTGCGGGGGGACGGTGGCCCAGCAGGTAGAGCGCTGGCCTCCGGTCCGGAAGGCCGAGAAAAAGAAAACGGTGTCTTTTTCCAAAATCTCCACCACTTCTATGCTCTATTGCTCACTTAACATTAGTAACAAATTTCGGCTCCCCGGAGCCGCACACCCCCTCGTCCACGTTACTTTGGACCCAACAATAAAAAACTTTCGTCACTCCTAGATGGCGCCAGGTGGCAACCCCACCGCTAGGATAAGTCGCTACTGGCTTATCACCGGTACGATCGAAAATCAATGATAATTGAATCCTCTTCAAGATTGTAGACAAATAACCAATATGATGAGAAGAATAATTCAAAATTATTCTATAAAAAAAGTCATTTTTAAATGCAGCAAAGCCATTAACAAACATAAAAAAAAAGAAAAAATTGGAGATGTTTACTTAAATCAAATTTTCGCCAACAGCCCCAAATTTATCTTCAAAATTTGTTTTTTTTTTTTTAATACGGAATTTTTTAGATAATGCGCACATATCGTAAAATTCAACAGCTTTACAGCACTGGTATTTGTTTGTTTTAATTTAAACACAATATTTTAACGGATACAAATTAAAAATAATATGATGTCACTATTGGAAACGCAATTGGAGGAACATTGATCTTTCTCCCAGGTTGGTTGTGCATAACTATTGTAGGAGTCTCCTCTCTATCAGTCTTTTCTAGACATATTATAAATCTATTTACGTTATCCAACCTAAAATAACAACAGGTTTATGGGCCCCAGAAAATAATTTAAATTAGGGTAGTTAAAGTGAAAGATTAATTGGTAAATTTAAAAATATGATGAAATTGCATATACAAGTTATAAAGTCTGCTTGATTCAATCTTAATATAATTTTATTAATCCTAAACTCTTTTGAGTAAGGATGATTTGAATTGGGTTACAGAGTTATTACTTTTAATTTAACGCAAGCGTTAGCTCACGGAGGGTAATTAAGACTAATTCGAAGGTCTGATCCGGCCCCAGCTCGAGGCCTTTACCTGGTTACAGCGCTGTCGCCAAAGTGCAAGGTCAGCACTTGGTATTCGGCCACTCGCGATCATTCGCTGAGCGAGTGTTCCCAGCGCTGCCGCTAAAGCGCCGGGTCAGCACTTGGTATCTGGCCAGCGACGGTCACCTGATGCGTGCGCGTTTCTGGCCGGACTCCGGGCGATGAACCCCAGAGTGTCGATTCGGCAGTTCCCTTACTGCGCGTGTTGGCCACCGGATACGGGCTGCAACTCGACAATTTTGCTTCGTGGGAACTGGTTGTGGAAATTCTTTTATGGACTTTACCTTTTCAGGTGAAGTTCGATGCCCCCCCTTGTGACACTATAAGCCCCAAGTACTCAATCTACATCCCTAATGTGGTCCTCTTTTGTTTTTGAGAAAATGGTGACGTAACCCACATAGACGTAACATAACTTGGAAATTCCTTCTCTTAGGACGTCGTCAATTGCCCTCTGGAAGATGCTTGGGGCGTTTTTAAGCCCGAATGCTAGTCTACAGAATTCATATTTGCCATTGTTTATAGAAAAAGCTGTCTTTTCCCTGTCTTTTTCCGACAGTTCTATCTGGTGAAAACCTGATTTAAGGTTGAGCGTCGTAAAAAATTGTGACTCGCCCATGTTCGAAGGTGTTGTCGAAAGTTTAGGTATGGGATACCTATCACCTACGGTTCTTTGATTTAACTTCGATATTAATTAATTCGCGACGACACGAGAAAAATTTATTTGATACTTATTTTATAAATCAAAAGCGTAAAAGTTCCGTACGAATAAAAATTCTATGCTGTCAAGCACCGGCAAAATTTACTTTCCGAATAATTTATTGGCAAATATTAAACAAAAAGCCTACTCACATTTCTTATTTTTTGTCGTTGTCGCTGATGCTGCTGCTGCTGCCGTTGCTGTTGTTTTCTTTTTCTTCTTTCTGGAGGGGTGATGGAGGGGTGCCTACAGTCCCTATTGCTCAATTATTCCCGCGGGCGAGGGGTTTCCCTACAGCTCCCTGTTGCTCAGTTACTCCCACGGGGGGGCGAGGGGTTTCCCTAAAGCTCCCTTTTGCTCAATATTATTCCCGCGGAAGGGAATTTTGTTGCGCGTTTTATATTAGTTTTACTTTTTTTGTTTTGGACTTTTATTTATTTGCAACTTATTTTTTGCAATTTATTTTTTTTTCCGTTGTATTTGCGATTTTGTTTTGCACTTTTGTTTTTCTGTAATTTTATTTTTTCGCAAATGTTATTTTTATGTTTTGCACTTTTATTTTTTTTTAACTTTATTTTTTGCAATTTATTTTTTTGCACTTGTATTTGTAATTTATAAGTTATTATTTTGGTATGCACTTTTATTTTCCTGCAATTTTTATTTCTTGCAATTTTATTTTTTTGCAGTTGTATTTGCAATCTGCAAGTTATTATAATATTTTCACTTTGCAATTATTTGCAACTAACTTTTGAGTTTTCTTTTAAACGCACTGCACTGTATCGCGCGAGTATTCCCGAATTGCAAATTACTTTTGCAAATGCACTTTCGATCGCGTGAGTCGATTTACGTTGGGCGACAGTTGTAAAGTCTGCTTGATTCAAGTTTAATATAATTTTATTAATCCTAAACTTTTTAGAGTAAGGATGATTTGAATTGGGTTACAGAGTTATTACTTTTAATTTAACGCAAGCGTTAGCTCACGGAGGGTAATTAAGACTAATTCGAAGGTCTGATCCGGCCCCAGCTCGAGGCCTTTACCTGGTTGCAGCGCTGTCGCCAAAGTGCAAGGTCAGCACATGGTATTCGGCCACTCGCGATCATTCGCTGAGCGAGTGTTCCCAGCGCTGCCGCTAAAGCGCCGGGTCAGCACTTGGTATCTGGCCAGCGACGGTCACCTGATGCGTGCGCGTTTCTGGCCGGACTCCGGGCGATGAACCCCAGAGTGTCGATTCGGCAGTTCCCTTACTGCGCGTGTTGGCCACCGGATACGGGCTGCAACTCGACAATTTTGCTTCGTGGGAACTGGTTGTGTTAACTTACACATACAATTTTATATGCGGAAATTAGAATCTTTTGGAAGCGCAATAGAATGCGTCTGTGTGACGGAAGAAAAGACAAAGAAGCTTGTTCGTTGCTTATTTAGCCTTGTGAAATATTTACTTGTTGTATAACTAAATGCAAATTAAACAAGAAAGGAAGCTAGCTTCGGCAAGCCCTTGCAGTCATCAAATATGTCTATCAAAGTACATAAAGGCTAAACAATATCGAAGATATAACGATTTTTCTATTAGTTTTCCATATTTTTGACTATTTTTCATATGGCAGCTATATGAAATAGTTGTCCAATTTTGATAAAATTTAATATGTAGGTATGTAATCAAGAGTTGTTAGAAAAATCTAGTTCAAAAATGCATGCTTGTCTACTGAAAAACAACGATTTCATAATGTTATTTCCGTTATTTCTATATAGCTTTTTTGTCTTTCCTATGACAGCTATATGATAGAGTTATCCGATTTTGTTAAAATTTAATCCGAAATTCAATAGTAAGGTGCCCGAAATAAGTATGTAGGACACCTAATTTTTTTGTTTAACATAATAACGCTTGAATATTTTTCAAAAAGACAAATTTGCAATTATTCTTTATTATTGGGTTGGCAAGAAAGTCATGCCAGGGTCACACTTTTTAGTATCATTTTAAAGCTTATTGTCTTAGGTACTATCGACGAAAATTTGGTAATTATTCGATAACATTTGTGGAAGCTATAGCAAATTAAACATGGAGGACCAAAGTGAGCATTTTCGGCATATTTTGCTTTTTTACTTCCAAAAAGGAAAAAAAGCGGTCGAAGCTCGCGAAAAATGGTGCAAAGTGTATGGTAAAGATGCCATGAGTGATCGCCAATGTCAGCGCTGGTTTGCCAAATTCAGGCTTGGAGATTTTGGAGTTAAAGACTTCCCACGTTCTGGTCGACCATCGGCCGTTTTTGACGAACAAATTCAGGCTTTGCTGGATGAAAATCGGCGTTATTCAACGCGGGAGATGTCAGAGAAGCTCAGTGTGTCGCATTCAACGGTTGAAAACCATTTGAAGAAATTTGGCTACGTAAGCAAGCTCGATGTTTGGGTTCCGCATAACTTAAAGGAAATTCACCTAACTAAGCGTATCAACATCTGCTATTCTCTGCTGCATCGGATTAAAAACTATCCTTTTTTGAAGCGGATCATTACTGGCGACGAAAAGTGGGTTGTTTACAATAATTTCCAACGAAAAAGATCATGGAGCAAGAAAGATGAGCCAGCCCAAGCCACATCAAAGGCCGATATCCATCAGAGGAAAGTTATGCTGTCTGTTTGGTGGAATTGGAAGGGTGTAGTGCACTTTGAGCTGCTGGGACGGAATGAAACCATCAATTCAGATGTGTACTGTCGCCAGCTATTCAATTTGGCGGAAAAAA